TTAAATTATAATTTTATTATAATTATAATAAATAATTATATATTTAATATAATAAATTTTTATATAAAATTATAATAATAATTTAAATAATAATTATATATTTTATTATAATTATAATATTTATGATTTCAAATAACGATGATGTTCTCATATTTAAATATTTTTATTTAAATAATCTATTCTATGTACTCATCATTTAAAATCTTATCAAATCGTTTGTGACAATTGTAGTTTCAAATAATTCTTTATTTCAAATTTTAAGTTCAAACTATTTAATATTTTTATAAATTTTAATTGTTCATTTTATATTATAAAAACATAAAAAATGAAATATTTATTAATTGATATATAATAACCTCATAGAATACAGAATATCTCCATCTTGCGAGATTCTTAATAATTTATTTGGCACCGTGATGGTATGCACATAGCTATGTTTTCCATTATAAAAATACGTATCTGGCCTCCAAATTCTTTCCAACATTTTGATGCTTAAACTGAGAGATTTTATTGGGCCTAAAAAGCTCAAACGAGAATCTCTCCAAGATTGTCGAAAATAACAATCCATTGAATAATCCTATAAAAATAGGTTTTATAAAAGTAAAAACGAAAACATTATTAGATTTATATTATAAGAGAATTAATTACGGATTACTTTCAGTTTATTACAAATTTATATTTATTGATAGAAATTAATTAATATATAAATTAATAAAATAATTGTAAAAATTATAAAATAATTTTAGAAATATATAAAATAAATTTAAGAAAAATAATATAAAATATTATACAAAATGTTTAGATAAAGTAATTAAAAAAATTCAAAAATTATTTTCTAAAAATTAAAACATATATAAAAGTTATATGATATATAATAAAATATGACAAATAAAAAATATTAAAATTAAAATCTAAAGTTAAAATCTATTTCATAAAATCTATCAAATTATAAGTAATTTAATTTTAAATAATGTGACACAATATCATATAAGTAAAATAATTGTATTTTTATTATACTGTATAGTAATGCAAAATTAAATTTTATAACTTAACTATAACTAACTTAATTATAACTTACAATTTCAAAATAAACATCAAAAGACATTCTAGAACTTTTAATTTTTGCGTTTATTTTTTAAAAAAACTTTTAAATTGTATTTTTTTTGTCTTGTCTTTTTTCTTTATTCAAACATTCTTTAAGCAGTAAATAAAAAATTAATTATGCAATTTTAATAGCTTTATAAAAAATTTTCATTGCATAAAAAATAAAAAATTTTTAAGATAAAATAGATTTTTTTATTATTATATAATAAAAATAGAAGTCTATAGGAAAAAAATTGTACAATATATAATGTAAAAAATATTATAAATTGAAGAATCATTAAAACATTATACACATACCATATCGAGTTCTGACACAGGACCCATGCTCCTTATTAAAATATTTGTTTTTACCACAGTTGGTGTTCCTGATAATCGAAAAAATGTAATCATATTTCTGGTTATGAATTATAATTCTTTAATTATAAACTGAAAAAATTATTAATAATTAATAATTTTTAATAATATACTGTAAATTATTATATATACTATATAATATACTATCTATGCCAATATTTCTCAATATTATTAATAATTCAATATTGAATTACATTAAATTTTTTATGAATTGTGACGATAAATATTATATCTAATAACAATTAAATATCATTAATATAAATTATTTTGTTTATAACATATATTGTATATAAAAATTTTTAAAAAATATAATTCATTTCTGTTAATTTACTATTTTTTTATCATTCTGTTTTTTTATTTAAAATCATTATTCTGTAATTAAATTTAAGAAAACAGAGATGGAATTGAAATATATAAATTGTTGTAAATTAAAATTGATTTGATATGTTCTTTCTGTAAAAATATATTAATAATTATTAACAAAAGAATAGCTTTTATTGATTTCAATAACATTAAAATATTTCAACAATATTTCAAAATATTATTTTAACGTTTCGAATGATTCAAACTTTAAGAATTAATATGAATAATAGAAATATTATGTCATAATGATTTCTATAAAACATTATGTTAAATAGCAATTTCGAACCTGTGAATCGTGATAATAATCATAATAATATATCGTGGTAATGATCATAAAGTATTATTATTATAATATAATAATATTATATTATTTTATAGTAATATATTATTATAAAATATTATATTATTTTAATAATATTATATTATTATATTATGTTATACAGAAGTATCGAGGTCAGATAATTAATTCAAAGAACAATTACTTATTCTATGATATTAAAACAATGTTAGTTTTTAAAATAATTAATTTTTATTAATTTTTTTTTCTTATCTTATACAAGGTATTAATATATTCCTAGGTTACTTTTGGAAATTATTTTTTACCAGGTCAAAATAAATATAAAAGTTGATAAAAATATCGTTTGAAACTTACTTATTAAAATAGAAATATTCAACAGGTTTGTTTTAAAGAGAATATGTTCTTTTTTTTCAACACGATTTTTTGTTCTTTGTTTTTTTATATATATCATATAGTCTGTATATCACAGTTGTTGTATCTTTTTTAAAAATATATTGTATATAAAAATCTGAATACAAAAAATTTTTAAAATTTAATTTCATATTCATATATTAAGTGGATAAAATATTTTAAAATACATTGTGTTTTGGAATTATTAAAAATTTGTCAATTTTTTTTCAATATAAAAATATGAAAAGATTATGATTTTCAATAGTCAATAGAAGAATCGATGACATCGAAAAAATAAATTGAAAATTTCTTTTGTTTAAGATATTTGTTTAAGATATTTTTAACATAATTTAAAATTATAAAAATATATCTTGTTTAAAACTTTATAAAGAAATA